CAGATAAGCGAGCCTGTATGTGCATTAGCTGTTACTAACTGCACGTGGAATGTTGAATCTCGGTAATTAATGAATTTGAACCGTGTTTTTTAAGTTTTTTTTCTGAGAAGCTCCTCCTAGCAGCTAGCAGATTTGTATTAAGTGGTTGTTTTAATTGAAGTATAGGAAATAGCAAGTAATAGTGGGCACTGCGCAGCGTTGATTATGTTGGAGTTTGCAGCTCTGCCATACGATTTACGATCAAACGGTTGAGGCCAACAAATTCGCCAATTTACACTCCACACGGCATTTTGGACCATTTGTATTTTACCTGGTGCTCAATAAAAAATTCCTCCCGTTGCTGCGTTTCTATGCTGCTGAAGGCAGGTTGGTTCTAATTTTTCGCAGGCTCTCCTTTCAATCTGTTATTTTTTGTAAAATTTAGCTTTTTCCGTCCCTTCACTGCAGATTTTTTACAAAACCGGCATAATTCGCTAAATTTGGAAGTAGCCTTCACAAACCCTATCTTCCGCGGGCTTAGATTAATCGAAGGCTTTATCTTATTATGTAAGCCCTCGAAATTCCCGGAATTTCTGGGATAAACTCTGGTTCCCCAGCGATGCTCCCGGCAGATTTTGAATTGCTTTGACCAATACTGCATCGATCTTTAGTCAGTTTGTTGCTCACTCCGACATCGTACTGTTTCTTCAAAGAATTACCAGTTTTTGGCGATTATTTGTAAAAATTTGCTTAACTATTCTCCTGTAACGTACCTAAGCATGATTGAGTACCTAGACATAATTGAATAAATTAGGCAAGTTGACTGGATCATTTAGTAATTGCCAGAATTACTTAGTACAGTTTAGGGATGAAACACAGACAGGATACCAAGTCATTGCACATACAGGTCTGTTTATTTGGGAGATCTAAATGGCACGTCCAATTTTTTTAATTATCAAAATTCGATTGTGTCCCTCCCCATGGTGGGCCAATAATGCCCAACAAACTGCATATGTTAACACATAGAAGATTTCAGGCCCACGTCTTCTTCCAGTCTTCTAAGCAGGAATATTCATCGTTTGAAACTTTAAAATCTCTGCAATACTTAATAAGACTTTAGCCGTTTAAAGATGCCACTGGTGTGTATTGAGTACCGCCACCTCGTCTTGGATATTACCCTTTTCCAACAATTCTAAATTTAATATAATAGTAATAAAAACTCTTCCTTTTCCTCTTTTTCTTCCCTCTTTCCATTCTTTCTCTTTTCTCAACTCTGAACATCACGACCGTCATATTGATGAGGTCCAGTCGTTCGGCTAAAACCTATATGACTTTAATGGACCGAAACGTCTTAACTCATTCATACTTCTTTTGCACTAGCTCTATTTCCACACCCATCCATACTTAGTTCACTCCATGTCTTCCCTTCCTAAGCTCCTAGCATCTAATTGCATGTTACAATCAGCTTACCATACTTAAACGGCGACAAGGCACCTTATTTAGGGTTAGGGAGAAAATATGAACAAAAAAAATGAAAGGGTTGTTAAGAATTATTAAACTAGGTAAGAAATGTTTCGGTCCATTAAGTCGTATACATTTCTTACCGTTACCACAGTTGTAGCTCGTCAGTACGACGACTGTGGTAACAAGATAGTTTTTTATACTGTGGTACCAATGTAACTCCTTATCTCGAACCAAAACCTTGGAAATTCTTAACAATTTCAGCTTGTTTTATTATTTATAGATTTCATTTTGCATGAATATCCCCTATATATCACTTCTAGTATTGTTTCTTACAAGAGCGCCATTTTCAATTGTCAGTTTTAAGCAGAGACACTATGATATATTTCCAACTTCAGGTACAAAGACGCAGCGAATTTGATCCGTCTGATCAAGATTATCTTTCCCGATGAAGCCTGGAACCGAACAATGGAAAATGCTGATGATCAGACTGTGTTACAGGTAACACAACCAGTTCCATGAATTCATGGCTTGTTGCGTCTTCGAATAAGCGTACAGCTCCTGTTTTATAGTATTTCAAACGCTGACCTTCCAGGATCATGGCATGAATTCAGCTTCTGCGCTACACTGTTTCGAAGACGAATTTTTTTTTTAGGAATTTCTTTCAGGAATATGATTTTTTCAGGAATATGCAGAAAATTTTTCAGGAATATGCAAAAGAGAACAAAGAATGCGAACCAGTTCTGCAGGAGTTACTTCGAGCGAGGAGGAGCAGACAGATGAGAGACAAAGCAAATGCAAGCGTTTCTAGCGAAACAACGGGTGCAGACACAAGCACCATACAGGTAAGCATTTCTTTCGCATTTTCATGCGACTCATTAGGTTCCCTCGATTGTCTTTTCTTCTAAAACTTTGTTAAACTCACGTATTTACATGGTGATTAGGAGGCTGTACTGAAGATTTCCGCCCTTAACTGCACCCTGTACTTTCTGCATTTACAGCTGAGGGATGAAACATAGACAAATCTTTTTCCGCATATTCCTTTCCACATGACTTTTCAACATGTTGTACGGTTTTGTGCCATATGAACAGCCCTACAGTCTTTTCTATCATAATTTATTAAAATTACCCCCATCCTAGGTTAAAACCTTTTCCATGTTTTGGACCGCCCGCTTTTTTCAGAGATTACGGTTCGGCCTGCCAACAGCCGCAAAT